AAATGGCATACAAGGCAGGGGGGATTTCTCGCGAGAAAGTATAGCCTCAATATAGCAAGAAGCCTAAGATGTTGCAAATCACTAATGAACCTTCCTTTACATGGGAAAGCCCAATTATTTGCAATCCATTGCCTTATTTTTTTCTCTAAGCATAAATGCATATGCATAAACATACATGCATAAGAAAACCTGTGTGCTCTTAATACGTGCACAGAAGTTTACAGCTGCATCTCTAAAGCCTTCATTTGGTCCGAAAATACAGAGACTGAAATCTATGCCTTTCATCTGCTTTTGGAACTTGGAAAGTTTAACTCCACTCTGCTTATTAACACACTTAGTCTTTCAGTATACTTCTGTATCATAAAACTGACAGAAATAAAATTTAAATTACAAGGTAAGCTACAAATCTCTTTTTCCCTCATTAACAAATCAGTCTGGAAATTCAACACCTTACGGCACAGTGACTTTGCAGAGTATTGGATTAAGAGTGGAGGTCCTGCAAAGCTTTACTTATGTACCTAAGCATTACCTGCTGACAAAGACTGGAACAGGACTATTGGGAACCCACTGCTCCTCATAATTGAGGTGTGAATCACATAAAATAAGTCTCCTTCCTAGAAACGCCCATTGCATTGCTGAACTGAGGGGAAGAAATCTGGACAGCATCAACAAACAGAGAACTGAAAGGGAAGGATTTATTTAACTGAGTAAAAAATGCTGTGGAGAACCTGAAATAATAAAGGCGGCAGTTTCTGTAGCTTACCCTGAAAATTTTGTACTAACTTAAGGCTTCTCTGTGCATCACTTTTTTTATTATTATTATTTAATAGTTCATTTCCATATGCAAGCAGAAGGGAACGCTGTTTTAAGGGTAATCAGCCAGAAGCTTAGCAATAAATCAAGGCTAAAAACTGAAAAATAACCTCTGTTATTACTTAAATATTTAACTTAGCAAATCGCCTCATGCAGTCAGGGTTTGTTTAGGGTAACCACAGACAAAAAGTTTATTGTCTTTATTTAACTGGCATCTGCAACTAAAATTCAAATTCCAAGCCTTTATCAGTCCCCTGACAGAGTAAGCCATTAACTCTGCAGCACCCCTGCAAACCGAGAAACTCCATCTCAGTAGTTTCCTGAAGTATCCAAAAATCCTGCAGCTCCTATCGTATTGCACAGCCACACACAGTATGTATGCCAGCCTTGCCCGGCGTTCCAGAAAGCACTCCCAGGCTGAGTAACGGGCAGCAGAATTACAGATAAGTACTGCAGGGAAAGGAGACACGTTACAATGAGATTTCCTTTTCCAGTGTCCCAGTCTGGGTCCAGGCTGGGCCCATGGCGTGCTCCCGTTCCCCAGGACATCGGTATCGATGTTGGCACCAGCTTCCGCGGGAAGAGGACAGACCTCTGGCACGGTCTGATCTCAAGTACAGGTTGAACGATTAAGCAAGACCTCCCAGGAGACGGCGTTGTAAATGTTAGTGCCTAAGTAAGCCAAAACTGGAGTCAACATCTTGTCCAAACCAAAAATGAAACTAAACAAAAAAGTGTTCTATAAAACTCTTAGGTATTAAATATTTAACTTGCAATCTCAACTGTTCTTTTGTCAAATGTGCACATATAGTTCTCCTTGGAGGCACTGAGATCTGAGTAAGGCTTAAAAAAAAATCTAATTCTTTTGGTTGTTGTCATTCTTAATCACAGATATCTATAAAATTATTAGCCCAAGCTGCTAATGGGAATAGAAAACTCTAGATTAGCTAAATCAATCAGGCCTGTGCAATGGGGAAAGGAAGACAAGAAAATTTTGAAGAATCAATTTATTGGCTATTAAAGGCCCACTTAAAATTAACTGCATCACAGAACATAGTACCCAATTTATCCATTTCTATTCTGTAGAATATCGCCAAACTCCTGGTTTCGTCTGGGTTATGGTTTCCATTAATTCCATCTGTTAAGTAATTCCAAACAGGCCCAGTGATCCTGCAACCCCAAACATTATTGGATTAAAGTGGCATCCCAAAAAATCTGAAAATTGAGACAGGCCAGAGGTACATGAATAAAATATCAAGCCAATATTTTAAAATAAATTGTCTGCTAGTGGAACCTACTGTCAACCAAGTGCCAGAAAACTCACTTTGACAACTCTTGAGGTATCCTAAGAGATGTCTGTAATAAGTGACTTTCAGATCTAACAACCAATTTTTGTAAACTTCTGTTACAGATAAAAACGTGTGCCCTCTTTTCAGATGTCATTACTCAATATTTCACATCTTTGTAAATGCAACATTACATGTTTGCTACAATTTCTTAGTGCATGAACTCGCATTAGCAGATTTGGAAACTAATGGATATAATGGCTGTTGTGTTACTGTATTTAGTTTTTTGGTAAACTGATTAATCTACCAGACCATTATGGAAGATTTGCTTCCAGTGGTTCTACATTAATGCAAGTGCAGAGTTTGGGGCTTTTTACAACAAAAGATGTACAATATGTTTTTACAACAAATTTTAGCTGGGTCTAAAGCTAATGACTTTAGACTTTTACATTTTACCTTACTTTTTACCAGTTGCAGGGTAATGGATGAGGTTTGTATCTTCTATAATACTTTGTTTTTCACCAAAACATTCCAAAATTCCACCCCAAGATAGACAGGTAGACAGACAGATGATGGATGGATGTCTGTATTTCCTACCATCACCATCTTGGCAAGCTGTGAACCAGTGGGGCTCTGTATGCAGAATCTCTCTCAAACAAAGGCATAACTTCAGGGGGCAAACATTACTATAACTAAAAGACAGTCCAAAACAGGCAGTACAGGACACTAATATTCCCCACAAAGCACAGCTGACTCCTTATTTAGAGTTTCAACTGGAACAAAAAAATTCCTGACATTAATATGTAGTTAATCTATTCTCCCCCCAAAAATTGTCCATATTTGTACATCATGTATTAAAGGCATAGGGATAACTGACCTTACCCCCAGCAGGGCACAAAGTACAAAAGATCACTTTACCACCCTACTCCGCTTCAAATTTTATCTTCTGGTTTGCCTCTAGCATTTCCATTTACAATCTCTTTTTCCTCAGAAAGAGAGGCTTGGACACCCTGGTGTCAGATCCCGGGCCTGTAGATTCATACCTAGTTTGAAAACTAGTATCTAGCCATCTCAGATTACATTATTTTAACATTTTTGCCCCAAATCTTCCCTCTTTTTGCATTCTTCTACAGACTTTCTACTACATCACACAGATTCAGACAGAAACTTCCCCTTCCAAAGTGACTGCTGCTCGCTCACCGTTACCTGAACCTGAGAAGTTAGATAGAAAAAGGCAAACTGACTCTAGAATATTTCAGTTATTGCTCATAAATTAACGGGAGCATGGAAGTAAGACATGGAAAAAAATAAGTAATGACACATCTGCATGGGATTTTTTGAAGGCAGTTTGGTAACCCAGACGTCCAACCCTGCAGTATACAGACTGTCTGCCATGCACCTATGTGTCTTAATAACTTTGGGGAAATATTACTATTACTTTTAAAAACCCATAAATATCAATTTCCCATTGAAAATAATTTCTCCATTATGTTTTTTTAAATTAAAACCAAATATGGACTCGTCATAAGGATTCACTGATTTGTGCCACTGAGCTGACTTTATAAAACAAACGCTATTGTGGCACTTAACTCTTCAAGAGTTGCACGTTTTTATTTAATAGACAAAATAATTTTAATTAAAAACATTTCAAATCCCACATCTGGAAGTCCCTTTAATCGCTGTACTCTGAGTCCCTCTGAGGGCACATTGGTGTTAAATAGGAGATACATGCAGAATACTTGGATTAAGTGGGAATTGGGTAACTCAGTAAACCTCAGCACGAGGGAGAAATTTGTGCAATAGGAGAGCAAAACCGACAACTTCAAATGAGGTGTAAAAATGAGGTCTTAACCACCCAGTTACTACAGATCCCATACGACCTGTACAATGATAGAGCTGTTGGGTTTTTTTGCTATGTGCTGTATTAAGCAGTTGGCATCTTTTCATCCTTAAGGAGGTGCTTATATTTCAGTAGCAGATTAAGTAATTTCTGTGAATCATCACAGGTTTTTTCTGTTTGGTTTTTTTTTTTTTTTATAGTGCTCTAGGATCCTTTGGGATAAGGAGGTCGATTATAAAAAGCGTATTACTGCTTCTAGTAAAGGATGGGTTGTTTTGCATTTGAAGCAAAACCTTAATTGATGAACTACTGACTTCTGCCACAAACTTCACTAGTTCATAAGTGTTATGCATATAGCAGTATCAACCGGTTGCTAATAATTAGACTATATCCAGGTTTTAGGTTTAGCTATGAGGTAGTTTTTTTAAAAATCCAAATAATGATGCCTCTAATGACCAATTAATTTCTTGCTAAGATGCAGAGTACATTACACAAAATAATTGTGTTTCATAAGCAAGCATATTGTAAAAAAAGTAATGCCAGTTTGACACTTCTTGCTACTAAACACTTGTATTAAAGGAGCATTAAGGGTGGCCAGCGCTCTAGACTTTTCTTCATTTGAACAGAGACTTGGTTTTCCCTTTTCCCTGTAGATTTTATTAACTATCAAGTGAATTGAGACGACTCGCTTCCCGAGAGCCCACATTCCCTTGCAGCGGAGCCCGAGTGCTGAGCTCGCAGCCCTGCCACGGCAGCCATGGTGCCTGTCCTCTGAAACGGGGTCTGGAAAGACCTTCTGGTGCCAGGAAAACCGGGTTGAGCTGCGTTCCTCTCTGAGGAGCGGGCATTAACAAACTGAGAGAAAAAGCACAGTTTTCTAGCAAAACACCAAAGTCTAACACGAAGGACTCTGACTTAAGAGAATCGAGGGAAAAAGTTGCGAGTGGCAGCCATTTCAGTCGGAGCAGAGGAAGTTAGCTCAAATACTGCAAACGTGGGGGGAGAAGCGGCATTTCTGTTGTAACATGAGCCTTTCTGAACTGTTTTTGAATGCAGGCATCATGGTGAGTAAGGAGCCCAGCAAATGCTTACTTACCACCTCAGAAAGCGAAGTTGAGCCAGCGGCTTCGCTCGCACTGGAGATGAAATACGCACTGGATCCCAACCGGCAGATTAAGAAACGAAACAAAGCCCTCCAGGTGAGATTTAAAGATATCTGCGAGGCCCAGAACGAGCAGAGGGACAAACAGCTGTCGACCACGCAGGACCCGGACAAGAGGGAAGCCAAGCCCGTTTCCTACAAAACGGCTTATCGCAAGTACATGACGGTGCCTGCCCGGAGGTCAATACCCAACGTCACCAAGAGCACAGGAGTTCAGACTTCACCCGATCTTAAGAAGTGTTACCAGACCTTTCCTCTGGACCGGAAAAAAGGGAATATTCTTAAAAGCGCCTCGACTGTCGACACCTTTAAGAGTCAAAACAACGGGTTTCTAATAGACGTTAAGGACAAAGACGGCAGAAGCTCAGGGGAGGCCGTTCAGTGGGGCAAGGCGGCCAGCAGCCTGCAGACGGCCGAGTTCATTTCCCACATCAACGAGCGCACCAGCGCGGCGGCTCGCGACAACGGGGCCGAGGCCTGGAAGAGCGCTCCCCCCTCCCCCCCCAAACTCGGCTGACCCGGCTCCAGAGGAGCCCACCGCCGACCGGCCGCCCAGCCGAGGGAGACAGGTGGCGGGGCAGCCGGGGAGCGAGGAGGCCGCCCAGCCCCTCCACGGGAGGGTCTTCAAGACTGAAGTGGCCGCCATTTATTTGCCAGCGGCCGGTTTAGACGCTTCGCAGCCCGACCTGCCAAATCTCGCGGCCGACACCGACTGGTCACTGTGCCCGACAGCCGAGGAGGACACAAAGAGGACCGTGCACCTGAACGGTGTTCAGCCCCAGGCAGGAGATGCTCGAGCCTGCTCTTTGCAGGCGCCGTGCCAAGCCGCCGAATGTAACGAACAGACCCTTCAGATAAACGTTTCACCTATGGAGGAGAACCAGCCTTGCCAGACAGCTGTCGCGGTGAGCGAGGAATGCCAACAAATTGTGCCTCACACGGAAGTTGTGGACTTGAAAGCACAGCTTCAGATGATGGAAAATTTGATCAGCTCTAGTCAGGAAACCATAAAAGTGTTGTTGGGTGTTATACAGGAGCTAGAAAAAGGAGAAGCTCACAGAGAAGGGTGAGTAGAAGCTTTTTAAATGAGCATAAGCTGTTTTAAATGCCTTGTCGAACAAGTCTTGCCCTTGAATTTGCTGAGGTAAATTTGCCCCCGCCGCAGCACACCGAGACGTTGCACGTGGTGCTTCTCACGCGGACCAAGTTTTGCAGCTTTAGAGGCGAGTCCTAGGGAAACCTGCCAGGAATATTTGCAGATTTGGTATCTGCTTGTCCTAGGACGTAATTAAACAGCTATTTAACGAAGGACCTATAATATCTCTTCTTCTGCCTCTTCTAACGAGCACAGAACGAGCTGCTCTCCAAACAGGATTAGCGAGAATGTTTTCACATCAGCAACTTGTATTAACCGTAATACCTCACACGGCATGAAAAGCAGCAGAAAAACCTTAATTCTGTAACAGACTTACCTTTTTAAGATTAGGGGATATTATTACAACTGTTAATATAATTCCATTAATGGCATATGAATCTTGCTGTTTTTCTTTCAGCTTCTGAATTTTTAATGATATTTCTTTCAGAAGGGAATTAAATGAAAACTTTGACTATCAAGGTCTTCTTTACAGCACTCACGCTACTCTACACAAGACAAACTCAAGCATAGAGAAACAAAATTTTGTTTATCCCTAACTTACATTACTTAAATCAACGTGTAAGGTCTTACAAATAATAGTTACTGTAACACAGTGCAGCCTTTAGTCTTTACCTAGACAGTTCAAGCTGTCTCCTACATTACCTTAGCAAGCATGTCACAGACTTACTTGCCTTAGTTCGCTAATCTTTATTCAATGAGCGCACCTCAAAATGTATGTGCACTGTTTGTGCGTTTTTAAATACTGTAATTAAATCATAATTTGACGGAAGAAGTCTGGATTTTTAAATTAGAAACCAGTAGCTTTTGCTACTTGAAGCAGCACTTGTTTTCATTTGGGTCAAAAAGGTACATCTTAAGATTGGTAATTCAGCTCTTTCTCTAGGAATGTAGAAATCATCTTGTTAATCTGAAAGATTCAAAATGTTTTTCATTTAAAAAAAAATCATCCTAGCTGTTGGACAATGCTGTCAGCACAGCCTGAGCATTTTTAGTTTATTTTATAGCTCGTTATAGTATTTTTAGAAAACCTTGTCAAATTCTGGATCTTAAGACTGGGAAGCTTCTTGATCTAGCTGAAAGCAGCACAGGCTTACTGGTTTATTTTTTTTTGTTAAATTATTATTCAGAAAAAAATATTTCTCTGACTTTCTTAACTTACAGAAACTGCAAGAGAATTGGAAAGCAGGGGCATGCTGCTTGTCAAATCACAAAATATAGAAAAATATTTCCTCATCGTAACTCATCATCTGATCATCAAGAACCCTGTGTGTACGAACACACACATCTACCCACAAAGTTATCTGCTATAAATACCACTGCTTCCTCCATACGCTTACGTATCAATTTTTTATCTTTTCCCAAAGATAGCAGAGCAACAGGTGCTAATACTTATTTTTTTATTGCCCTCACATAAACATCCCCATTTAATGTAGCCAACATTAGGAATCTGTCCCTGCCCTCAGTGCAAAAGAGGTCTTGTCCAAACCATTGATGATTGCTCTATCTTCAGGTAATCCTTCTGTAGTTGTCATCCTGACAAAGCTGTAGCCTCTATTAGCCCTAAAGTAGCGGAACAATGCATAAACCCCAAGTTCTTCAGAAAACTACTGCCTCTTATACACAGAGACTTGTGTACTAGAGTCTGCAAGACTATGTTATATTTGACCAAAAAGAAAGAACCTATTTATTAGCACTCCTTTACTTCCCCCCCCCCCCCCCCGCCCCCCAGGTTCCCCAGCAAGGGTGAAATCACCACCTAACAACCTATCACACATTTTGAAATCTTTTCAAACATGTTGTGGTATGTGGAAGAGACAATTAAAGTGTTTTAATGATTCTTTGACATTAATTGTAACCAGTGGCAGTTACACTAGTGATCAAGGTTAATTATAAAAATTGGAAGCAAAGTGTCTACAAATCAAAGTGAGATTTCCGATGGGGGGATGTTTTAAACATGACAACATACAAAGGTGCTGACTTAAACCTACCAGGAGCAGAAAAGGGTTTTTCCTTGGAGCTGCTTTCAGCTACTCTTCCATATGCTCTAGTCATGTCCCAAACGTGGCCCCTCCCAGCGAAACATTAAGGATGTAGAGACAGGGAAGGAGGAAAGAAGGGAGATGCATACTTGCATATTTTCTCCTGGTTTAGGAATTCTTGTATTCCAGAGCCCTCTTAATTTTCTAGCATCTAGGTGATTTTAAAGGATATTGCACAATGGAGTCCAGCATTATGCTCAGGACGTTTCTGTTCTCCACTGATCCCACTCCAGAGCTGAAAAAACACTCTGTTCTTGTGCAAAGCACCAACACGTTATCAACATGAAGCCTGTCGTTATCCCTATTTCTCTCAAATTAGACAACTATCTCAATAATAGATTGCCCCATCCTTTTATTAGAGTAATTCTTTCCAATTATTGCATTCATTTCTACAACATTTTTGCCACAGACACCCACCATTGTCCCCACTCTTATGCATCTTCTCAATTTTAGCATGTTGATCTTTTTTCCTTCTAGAAACAGGTGTTAGGTCAGTTTATAAGAAGAAATTAAAAGCAATACTACTGCTAAGTGTCTGCTTATCATAGCATATACAAGTCTTCCATCTACTAAAACAGGAAACAATGTCCTGTGTTTGTGGCACTCTCCTGGTCTTCTTATGTATATTAAATTTCTTACAATAGCACACATCAAGAAACCAATACAAATAACACACCACTGGTTAAAAAAAAAAACCAAACCCACAGCTTAATCTCTTAATCAGATTTTTCTCCCTTCAAGAAAATCAGTGTTCTTTAAGTGCTCTTTTAGTGCCACGGGACTAGTGCTCAGTGGATTCATTTTCACTAATATGCTGTAGGTCTTGAACTGCTGTTACTGCAATTCATCACTAAATGAGTCTACGCCAGCAAAATTGTATCAGCATCTCTGAAGATAGCAGTATCATCCTTTGGGTGAATCTATGTATACTTTTCAAAATGTCAGTACTACATTATCTGCAATTAGCAACAACGTACAGCACTCAACTCTCTTGAGAAGAAAGGAGAAAAACCACTGAGGAGGAAGAGGAACACGGAGCAGCTCTAACACCCGACGGAGCCGAGGGCTCACGTCACTCTGCCAAATCCGAGCCCTGGAGGGTGCAGCGTGACCTCTCGCTTCCTCTGACCTGGGATCAGGCCCCGTTTATTGCTCACAGAATGCAAAATTGGGGCCCCAAAACACAGCTCTTGCCCTGAAACACAGCTCTTGCCATCAGGCACTGCGTAATTTTAATGCATTAAATCTACCTAAATAACACATCATAGATTCGGGGATGGGTGTAGAAATCATTATCACTAGCCCATGACCCCCAGTAGCAAAGGAAATTACTAAAACTGAGTATTTTTTACGTGCATCATTATTTACTAGATCTTTGGCAAAATAGTAATTATACCTATGTGGAAGTTTCTACAAAAACAAAAAAACAATTACATCACACCAAAAGGCATTCAACAATGTTTGTGATAAGTCATGGATGGATAAAAGTAACAGAGCTACATCTTCATTTAAGACTCCCAGCTCAAAGTTGAAAAAATGTTGAATATTACATGATGCAAGGTGCAGCTTTACAACACAAAACAAGTTTTATGCTCTGAATGATGTTTGCTCTATCTTCTAGTAAACTATTAGCAATCTATGTCAACTATAGATGTATTTGTCTGTATTCAGACACAGGGCAATCAATTCAGCAAGCCAAATTCTGCTCCGTATGGAGCCTCACTAAGGCCGACAGGATTGAAAGCAAAATGCAAGTCACTAATTCCAAAACCTGGCTAATTAACACCTATAACAGAAGATGAACAGATCATCAGAAATGCTTTGCTCCTGGAGCACACCAATGACCTGCCCTTGAAATCCTTACCATGAAAAGTTAACAGTAATCTAGGTCCTTCTTACTATACAACAAATCAGCAATTTTAATAAACAAAGTACTCAATTTGCCATACAAAAACAAGTCATAGTATTTTGACTCTGACAGGCCAAATGCTACACATTAGACAAGAGTTAAATGAACCTGTTTTAGAGATAATTTATACTCATTCATTAGTTGACAGTGGTTCAGGAATTTAAAGACCTCTCAACAAACATTCATGAAACAAGCAGTCCCAGGCTTCTTCGAAGAAGCTTTGAAAGAACATGTTCTCATGGACGGAATTTAAATGTCATTTCACATTTTCTAGTGAAAAAAATCTTATTATCATTTCTAAGCAGAAAATAAACCAATACTTTGTGTGTCTGGATGGAAATTTGTACCAAAGAAGAAGAGAGCTTCACCCAGTGCAGAGACAGCATCCTCACCCAAGTACTTCTGGCTAACGAATACTGCAAGCAGTTGTCCTCAAGGTCACAAGAGTTTCGCATAAACTTATCATCCTGACTCAGAAATGATGGCAAATTAAAGTCAGATAGCCAAAGCAATTACTGTCCAGATTGTTTGCTTTTCTCCTTTTTGGAAGCTACTGCAAGTCCACTCCAGCTATTCAGCTCAGACGAAGGAGACTGAGCAAATCAAGGCAGTAACAACCTCTGCTAACCCAATCCATCTACACACACAAGCCACACTTCAAAACTGGGGAGTTCCTATTTCACATAACAAGAAAAGAAAGCTTAAAGAGTTTATAAGAATACAGCTTCTGAAAGCACAGCCTTTGGAAGTAACGTGCTAGCTGCAGAAATAATATGACATGTTTTTATTTGGGATTTCCCCCTCCTTTTGGTTTTGTTTTGCTTTTTCAATTACAGACCTGGCAAAGGAAAAGTTCAAGAAAATCATTTCTAAAAGAAAACCTGGAAATGGAGAGAAGCAATAGATAGGTAAGCTTAAAAGCAGAAGACAGCTGTGCTACAAATAAATATATGAAGACCAGA